AAACATGGCGCCGCCATCCTCTTCGAGACCCTTCGGTGAAATCCGTACTTGAGCGCCATCAAACAACATTTCGGGCAGTTGAAGAACAAGGTCATGCGTCATAATGAACTTCACGCCTTTATCGTAAAGAGCATTCGTTAAACTGTGAAAGGAACTGAATGAACGCTCTTCAAAACGTTCACTGTCGTTAACACTTTTTCCGTGGTCGTGGTGATATGACACGTTATTCAAATTCCTGTCATATTTATTCTCAAAAATCTCATTACCATTCCTCGTGAATATTAAGCTATCAGTGACAGGGAAATCCCCGTCGGTTTCGATTGATCGATTTAGATATTCAAACACATTTCTTTTCACACAAGTCAACGATGTTTTTACGGCACAGTCTCTAAATAAACCTTCCCACAGCTCGTTATTTCCATACAGATTTAATGTCCTGTTGTCTTTATCTACTACAGAATACATTCTTCCAACGTCATTGTTATTATATGGCGTAAATGATTTATAAGAATGCATTGTTAAAGAATCGACGACACGGCCCAAAATGTAACCAGCGTAATTTGTAGTTTTCACAGGATCGTCGATGTTGTTTATTTCCTTGTCTATCAGAATTTCCGTACTTACGTCATATGACGACTGATTCTCATTTTGTTCTTCTTCTTCACTTGCATTCACAATAACACACGCACTTAAAAGTACACTCACAAATACACTCGTAATTACACACATTAATAATGTTTGTTCTCTATTTCTTTTCCTTAACTCCATTTTATTTTGTTATAATTTGGTTTTCTTGTTTCACCGTACGTGCAAATTATGCTGCTTACATTTTACACGTTACTTATTTGAACTTTACACAATTTTCACATCACTTTGTTTGGACTCACACGACAGATGGTGCTAAATATTAGCACGTGGTCACAGCGCTGTTGTACGCGCTGAGCTCGGCTGTTAGGTCGCGGGACACGAGGCCATAACACTCGAGAAGTACCGGTTCTTGAACCACACTGCAACCAGACTCCCTCCATCAGCAAGACCAACACGATGAGGAATGAGCACAAGTTTTCAGGTTGCCGTTGCTTTTAACAGAGTTGTGCTCCTTGCCTAGTGGCGTTCATTTGTTTGTGTCTCGTCCTCGTAGCGTTATTTATATATCATTGGTCTCCTTCTTGCATTAAACAGTTCGGCGTGGCCTACTCTACGCGTTACTCAATCCCCTTACTTTGTATTCAAGAAGGGACATGCTACAGACACTCTTATTAAATGCAGAGGATGTTACAGCGTATATTGTGGTAAAATTTACCGATATTTCGGAAAAATATTGTGTCCATCTTCAGGGAGCAGTCAGCTAGACGCAAACAGAACGAGCCCTGGCCTTCCTCAGGATTGCTCACCATTCTTCTCCATTCGATGCTACATTCCTCCAGTCCTTTACACCCAAAATTTTTATGTCCTGCCACACACATTCTTCAAATCTCAAACTTGGTCTTCCCACTTTCCTATTTCCTTCTGGTTTAGTGTTAAGTATTTTCTTAATTGTTCTATTCTCACTGGCACCTATTATGTGTCCAGCACATTCAAGCCTTTTCACCTTTTTAAATCCAATAATAGACCCAAACAAGTAAAAGATTTTTCTCTCCTCTTGCTCCCAATTTGGAGCATAGGGCTGATTTCTCAGTTTCGTGATCATTTTACAGATGTTAGGACTCCTTGGACGGGTAATCAGCTCCTCGCAAGGCCTCTACCTAAACACAGAATAAACGCATACACATATCAAACATTCATGCCATGTTTGGGATTCGAACCCACGATCCCGGCTTCCGAGAGAGCGAAGACAGTGCATGACTTAGACCGCTCGGCTACCGTGACCGGCAGTGTATAAGAATAATATATAAGAATTCAGTTTGTACCTCACAGGAAACAGATCCGAATCCACGATCCCGGCTTCCGAGCGAGCGAAGACAGCACATGCCTCAGACCGCTCGGCTACTGTGACCGGCAGTGTGTAAGAATAATATATAAGAATTCAGTTCGTACCTCACANGTGGAATTCGAACCCACGGTCCCGGCTTCCGAGCGAGCGAAGACAGTACATGCCTCAGACCGCTCGCCTACCGTGACCGGCAAACATGGAGAAGAACGGAAATAAAATATAGTCATGGGTCTCGACGAGGCCCGAAACCAAGAATGAGTGTGCTGGCGAGGACCAACAGCCATTTACTGGACTGAAGTCGACTGGACTAGGTGATCGACTATTAGATTTTCAAGAAAATATTCTGCTCCATGGATTTAATTATATTTAATTTTTTTATGGATAGTGGGGTGGGACTAAGTCCCTTGTACTGCGGCCACTTCTGGCCTATTGTACCAGCCCCAGATGATAGGTGAGGGTGATTTTGGAGCAATTGGTGGAATGAAGATTGGCAGGGGAAACCGAAGAACTCGGAGAAAACCTGCTCAGCGCCACTTTGTCCACCACAAATCCCACTTGACCAGGGCCAGGATCGAACCCGGGCCGCCGCGGTGGGGAGCCAGCGAGTAACTGCTTGAGCTATTGCGCGGCCATTATAGTAGTTAATTTAGTGTGAATATTGTTGACGGGCATTTATCACTAATTTCTTATTCGAAGTGTCCTGATTTCAAATCTCATATGGAGACCATTTTTTTAGGTTTGTCTTGATTATCTGCAGCTTTTCCTTCAGGTAAATGTTTTATAGTTGCTTCAATACAGACCATAGAAACTTGCTTTCTAATTTATAGATCATCTTTCTTCGGATGCCACACAGCCCATGAAGATGGAAAGCGTCCTTTAATAAATAAGTTACATCTATTATCTTCCTTTCTTTCAATGTGATAAATCCTAATGGAGATCATTTACAATATGCAAAATTATGTAACGCGCTGAAGTAGTTTAGGAGTCGTCACATCTTACCTAAGATCATAAATCAATGTTAGAAATAATTTGATGTAATGACAAACAGTATGGTAATTACTAAACGCGCTAAAAGCAGTGAGGGTTGAATTTTACGTGATCTGTGTTGATAAATCACGTGACGTTATAAAGGATCATGGGAAGAGTAAGGCATCAATCAAAATAAAATCTAAGACAAGATCTACGCAAATTGTGGAACTCCCGTAAAGTAGTAGGGAGACTTTAGACACGTTTTTTATTTGTAACTCAGTGTAATTATGAATCCCGCTGTAAAGAACAAAAGTTCCTGAGAGCTTTAATGTAAGGAGATAGATAGCACATGTTATGAAACGCGCTGAACACGAAATAGGTCTGTTTGATATTTATTGTCGCTAGTGAGGGCGGAGAGACAGGTAGTTACAATCTGATGTCGATATGCATGACCTGTAATGACAATATTCAAGTCACCCTGGAATCGATTCTCGAACGGCAGTGACGTCACTTCCAGTTGTCAGCTGTTCGCCCCAGTTGGAGGGAATTTGCCGTGTTTGTTGTGTTTCTCTTTGTTTTTTGTGTTTATTTTGTGACAGTGACGTACGTGTTTTGTTTTATGATCACTAATTATTATGAGTTATCAATTCGTTATAATTAAATGTGGTCGACAGCTTTTGGGAGATTTGTAAGGTAACTCTTTTGTTGGTTATAATAACCCATTTCATTCGTAAGTACAGGCCGAAATAAAATTTCACTTATATGATTTGTTATTACTCTTAAAACAGTTTGTTAACCGGTTTTCTGATCATAATAATGTAGTATACAAAATATTCTGAAGTCTGGTATTGTTTCATAACCTACACAATTTGCTGAAATATTTGGTTTCTTTCCAAAGTAATTATCTTCTCATCGGCTTACCATGGCTTAATATCTTTTCGTATGACATTTAATTATATCATATAAACCTCTGTAAAATTACTGATAAATTCCGAATTTTTAGTAATTTTTCCAATCGGGTTACCTTAATGGTAACGCTTTAGACACATATTCGGCGGGTGCTCGGTTCGAATCCTGGGGGAGACGCAGTCTGTCCTGTGTTTATTATTGATTTTTCCCCGGTCCCTCCAGGAAACTGCCGGGTTAGTACTTCGATTAGGCCACGACCGCTTCCTTCCACATCCTTTTGAATTCACAACTGATCATTCATATCCTTTGACGCTATATTCTATATAAATACAGCGCTCATAATGACCCAACGGAAGGAGATCCGTAATTTTGTAAACAAAGTGTAACAGCCAATAGCAAGCACAGTTTGCACTTTATCAAATTTATAATAATCCCTTATTAAACAACTTCGACCGTTGCAGTGCTCTTGTTTTTTTAATTGTGAGCTACTGGGTTCGAGTCCTTGTCCGGAGGCCGGCTATGCTAACCCATCATTTTTTTGTTTTCTTCAGGGCCTCGAAACAATCACTAGCACAGTACACTAAAACAGAACATGACCGTTTGTTTCCATATTTTGTTCAGTTCATCCCCCGGAAGTTATTCCACCCTCACCCATATCTACCCTCTCCAAGTTCAGAAGTCATCGTTAAATGGGCTAAGGAAATAAATGCTTGTGATGAGGTAAAGTTGTCCCTGTTCTTAACTAATTAAACACTGCACCATGAAGGCGTATAAGGGAGTGGATGTATAGATCCACATTTCCGTGAGTTGGGGGTGAGTGGTTAGCTTCACGCCCCGGCCGCTTTATCCCAGAGAAAGAGCCCACGGTACCCATTTGATAGGAGGTTGTGTGGACCCCAGAGCCGGTCTGGACGACTTGGAGAATAGAAAATTCTTGATCCTACCGGAACACACACATATATATATATCAACGTAGGCATGTTTGTGCCATTTAAGTATATATATTTATGTAGGCTTGAGCTTCATTTTAAAACCATTCTCAGTGAAAAACATAGACTGAGAATTTTTTAGAAGTTTTCAGAAGGCTCTATACCCTTTGTATTATATTATCCGGATGATTAAATTAAGGAATATATGATAGGTGGTACATGTAGCATGCACTATATCCGTGAGAACACGACAGTCGGATAATCTGAAGTACAGGAGCCGCTTCTCGTAGACTGGGGTTTGGTTCAGGTCCGGTCCCGATTCGAAACGTCGGTCGTATGCGAACACCAGAGGTGGGCCTGTACTTCACTGCATATGTGGTAAGGTCTCCTTCGAGCTGTGATACGCAAAGAGACTTGACGTTAATGTAAGGTTTCGGGGTTCTATGTCTGGTTAAACTTGCAGAGTATCTGTCTGGTGGCAATTATATTCAGATACATCATTGAGCCGAGCTTTTGAGAAGCTAGTAGACTCTTGCATTATCAAAAAAGTAGCTTCTTTTATGGAACCCAGAAGTTCCTATCCTCAGCCAGTTGAATCCAGTCTACAACCTCGTTTTCCGTTACTTAGGGTAGGGAGTGTGTACACTAAATTGTACAAAATAATACAATTAAAGTTCTGTTGTTATTGATGTCTCCGCCGTGCGGGTTGGCTTAGCGGTAACATT